ATATATATATAATCGGTGAGCTATTAAAATAATGATATTAGTTGCTAATTGGCTAGGCTTATAATTGATTCCTTTTTTTTGCTAGTTCTTTAGACAGTAAAAATGGTGATTTCAAGTATTTATTACTGAATTTTTATTCAACAGTGCTGATTAAATGTAGTAAACGGTAATAAATTGAAGAAATTATCTCAACTTCTTTATACTTAATTTAGTGCATGAATAAATGTATACACATACATTAATCTGAATTATTACACTAAAGCACTTATTTAATTATTTATTTTATAGACAATAAATTTATAGTATTTCATTTTTTTTCCAAAAAATCATTAATTTTTTCTGAAAATAAGTGGACGGTAACAAAATTAAAAATCATTGCATACCATTAATTTCGACTTTTTCTTTTATATTAACAGCACAGTGCAACTTTGTCACATCTTCTGATTGCATATTTACAGGTAATTCAGAACGTAATAATTTTATTCTGCATATTGTTTCACCTTCTGAAACTGTTGGCATGATTTTGTTGTTTGGTGAAACCATACGCTAATTTCGTCCTTTTCTTTGATTGCTTCTAGGAAATCTTCGAGTGCCAATATATCGTAAATCTAAAATTAATTATTCAGGATGGATCTAATAAATACTTTTAAAATTATGCGTAGCAATAAATAATATATACCATTCTTACCATTAATTTAATTTCTTCAAGTAAAAATGTTGCTTATAAAAAAGAAATTTAAAATTCAAAAGTGCTAATAGATAAGTATTGATAGTAGCTAGAAAATTAATTGAACAAAATTAATATACATAAAATTCGCAAGTTAAAATCAGCAGCAAATAACAACAGGGTAGCAGTTCTTTTAATTAAATAGTCAAAACTTACACTAAATAAAATGGTCTTTGAAAATAAGTTCATATCGTTTCAAATTATAGTAGATTTTTGTTAAAATGATTTAATTTTGAGTTAAATAATTATAATTTCTTGCAAATAGTGATAAAGTAAATGCGTATGGCATGAAAAGAATGCATGCTAACGTATTAATAATAATAGAACGAAGCACAGCACTTTTGCTGATTTTATCAGTCACTGTGATTCACTTTATATTGCAAGTTACGATGTATGAAACAGCTAATTTTATGATTAATATTATTTGAGTTAAATGCTAGTAGTTCATATGACAAATAACAATTTTTATTTTATCCTAAGCCTAAGCCACATGCTGTGAATTCTAACTCAAAGCGACCGAAAATTTCATTGTAATTAATATCAAAAGTATAGCGTATTTTGCTTTTTATTAATTTGTAATTAATAAGTTTCAGTATTAAAGTTTATATAGTGATAGTTCCGCGTTCTCTTTATATTTGTGAAATTAAATAATATTATGTCAATTTCGAGTTGAGTTTTGCAGAACTAAAGCAGATTAAAAAAAAGTACTAAGCGAAATTTTGATATTAGAAAAAAATAGAAAAATGTATTTTTGATCAATTTATTGACTGCAAAACAAAAAACTTGATGCTCATTTTTTCCATTCAACTTCGTGTTTTATATTTGTCTTATGCCAGAAGTTTGGGTAAAACAAAGTTAACTTTCAAAAAATTTATATCGAAAATTATAGTTAGATTACAATTGATTTTAGTCGTTACTTCATGATAAAAACTTCATTTATTGTTTGTTAAATTTAAAAAAATAATAATATTATTATTCAAATTTGATTCGAATTCAAAACTAACAGGTTGAAAATCAAATCGCTTCTGATTTCATAAAGATTAATATATATGTCGACTTACAAAACCTGATTTTTCACTGAAATCAAATAGATTAAAAAGACACATAACTAGTTATCGATACGAACGGCATGAAATTTTTCTTATTTTGATAGTTGTAAAGAGACGGTAATTTAGCCAACATAATCCTTCAAAAACTTTCAAAATAAACTATACTATAGAAGCCTCTTGTTGCAATAATGAAGACGATAGAAACTAAACATTAAGATTTTGTTCAAAAGTGATATAAAGTTATAAAATTTTTTCTACTCTCTAAATTTCTACTAACATCAGATGTAAACAATATGCAGTGCTTATCTTCATTTTTTTACTTTATACAATTTTAATGCATAACTTTCGAAAATGGTAGTTTTTCAGGATTCATAAAAGGAGGTCAAAAATTCTAGGAAAAAGAATGTAGACATGCATTTTTTTTTCCTGAAAGTGATTAAAAAGAATAATTTTTCAAACTTTTTATAAGATATTTTTTTAACTACTTTCATACAAAATTTTGATTGAGCAAATAATTAGCACTTTTAAATGAAGATGTCAAATAACACCCCTTATTAGAATTAATAGATGACCTATAAGTTGTCAAAATATCTATAATTTGAAATAAATTTAGTAAGATAACAGATCGACATTTTTTACTATCATGCATCAATAATTTCTAAAAAACTTTTGTTAATGGTTAAAATTCAAGATTCCCGCAATAATTATGACTAAATAAATTGATACTGACATAATGTAACTAAATTAGCATGAACTGCATCAATTTAGCATATGCAAAAATATGGGCAAATTAGCAAGCTAGCTAAGTTTATAAGCATAATATGCGTGCTTAATCTTGAAAACAATATTTTGCATAATTAATAGTATTAAGATTGATTAAAAACACTGATATACTTAGGTAGATACGATTATGACCCCAGTCTATATCTAATTTCTGATTGTTTTTAGAAAATACTAAGCAAAATTATCGTATTATAATTTATTGCTTTTTATTTATTGTGTTTTAGTTTTGCTGATTATCATATATTTTATTTACTATATATTCTAGATAAAAATCTATTTTTATCGTGATAAAGCAAAGGATACAAAAATGTTCCTATGTTTCATGTTTATTAAGATGTATTTATCTAATTTCTTTTGAAGTCAATTTCATTTTAATACTGAAACTTTTTCGAACTGCCTTTGAAATATTAGTAGTAATGTGAAAATTTTATAGTTTTTATTTCAGTCTCAGTCTAAATTTTACTAATGAAAATTACATAAAAGTTATAAATACGCTGACTGATTAGCAGTGAAAGTAAATGCATTCATGAAGTTAATTTGGTATTGTGCAAGTGAAAGCTAAAAAAATTCCATTCACATTTTTGGTGTGAAATCAATTAGTTATCAAAGAAGATAACTTAAGGGAAATCACCAAAATGAAATTAGTCTGGAAAATATAGAATAAATTAGCTTTTGACCTTCATGAAAAAGTACTATATATGATTTATTTTTGCATAATTTATACAAGAAAGATTACAGTACAACAATGAATAATGTTTGAATAATTAATTTTAATCAAAATAGAGAAGAGAAAGCAAGAAAAATGAAAACTTTTATCACATTTATGCAGTAACAATTATTTATTGTACTTCTATAATAATCAAATAATACTAATAATGACTGATTTTGATAACTTTTGATTGTTCATTTTAGCCAGTTATAAAGCATCTTTTAGATATAATATATTGATTTACCTAATAATCAATATAATATATATTAAAATCATTTCTTACTTTTAACTGATAGCAATGTTCAATGTAATCAACAATATATAAAGGAATCTGAGAGAAATTAAACAAAATAATTGTGTTCTGTGTAGGTAAAAGTTAAAATGAAGAAATGATGTTGTATAAAAGTACACGTAAATGAAAAATGAGAAAAGATCATTTTACCGCAACCTGTTTCATTTTTTGACGAACTTGCGCACAAGATTTTACCTACCTAAGTAATGCTACCCCGTCATACTCCACTCAACTCTGCTCTACCTGCATTATTTCATTTGCTGCCAACAAGTAGTGCTATTTTCTTTGTGTGAGCTACAAATAAATACTTGTAATTAATTTTTAGGCTGCAGATTTTTTATAAAATAAATGAAAAGTAATGGTCATTAAACTTATGTTATCTAATGATATTTTTGTTCCAAACTATCTTACATTTTTATCTTTCTAACTACTATTTTTTCTTGCTTAAGTATTAATGAGAAAGTAAACTCGGAATCAAATCAACTCAAATCAGATATAAAACTTTTCAACCTGTGAATAGTGAAAATGCATTTTTGACTGATCTATTGCACTTTGATTTTTAAGAAAATTTGCAAATAAGAATTTTATCATTCTGCTTAATCAAGTTTATATAAGTATTACTCTTAGTATATTCGTTCTCTTATTTGTAGCTTAATATTTAGTGCAAATAATTTACGTATACGCTCATGCATAACAGAATCTAGACTACAAGAATAGATTTTAACCATGACTTATTTAGTTTTTTGATTGAATTTTGCTTGATTTGTATATTTTACTTTACTAATATAAAATAACAAATGGAATAATAGTTGTTCAAAAAATATCTTAAATTTTTTTACACAACAAAATGCATAGGAAATAATGTTGAAGTCATATTTACTTTAGAAAAGTCATTTAATCTCTTTCAAGTTTTATAATAATTTTTTTGATAAACAGAATTTTTTTTTCTAACAATGTACACAACTGAAGTTTAGAAGAAACTGAAAGCATATCATTGCGTCACTTTTTATAATTATAATTTATTTTTAAAGAGAAAAATGAGCAAAATATGTGCATTAATAAATTATTGTGGAATAGGTCCATGTTCATTTATTTGTCCCTCAGAACTAATCAATTTTAATTTTTTTTTCATGAAGAAAAAATGAATAATGAAAAAAACTAAATTAAAAAAGGTACTAAATACAATAATAAAAATGTTAAATGGCTACGACGAATGCAAATATACTAAAAATCAGGAAATTTAACTAAAAATACTATCATATAGGATAATATTGCAGTTTCTAAGTGATTGCTTATCCTCAAATATTATCAGTGATTTAGAATTGCAAGGACAATACAACATGCAAGCTAACAATGAGTTGTAATTAATAGAAAAGAAGTATTTACTTTGGTAGTCAATGAATTCATCATAAAATTATTCATTTTGTATAGATTCAAATGAAAAACTGATTTAAAAATTATTTATCAGAAAAATAAAATCAATGAATACAAAAGCGAGTAATATATTGTTGTATGAATTTTAAGTCTCTAGCATTTTTACGCAATGATTATTACTATTATGATTGACATGCTCTAATTTAATTTGCAAGATAAGTTAATAACTAATAAAATTTACTGTGCATCAATTTCAATTTCAATTTCTATTTATTCTTATATATTTCAATCCATTTATCTTAATTTAATCTAACGCACAGCATTGAAGGAGAAGACTGAAATAGAATGAAAAATATACACTCTTAGTAGTTTGAAAAATAGAAACAGAAGAAGACTACGAAATGGTTGAAGAAACTTTAATGACAACAACACTTTCAAGAGATGGCAACGAAGAATACTTCTTCGCACACAAATAATATCAGTGCTGATGAGAGTACCAGTAATGTTGATGTTATCGATGTCGCTGTCACCAATGCTGTTAAGCACTTCGATATCTTTCATTAAGAGACAACAATAACAATTATCAACCAAATAATATTGTCACTATCATTTACTTATTTATTTTACTTCATTTTTCAGCTGTAGTTCTACAACTGAATCAAATTCAGTTATTTTTCGTTCTGTCTATCCACAATTTGTTTATATTTATAGTCTACAACTTGAACACATAACACATTCGCATACAACAGACATGAAAATATAATGCATACAAATTGCGCATCAAAGCATCTAATAAGTTTTTGAACTATTCTATCAACTACACAACTTAAGTGGTGTTTTATATTGCACAAAAATTCACACTATATATGTCATTGTATGCACAGATAAGAGTAAAATTTTAATTTGAAATCAAAAGTAGCTTCTTCCTACACAAACATTGTGGAGGAAGAAGCTACTTCTTGCTAGACTTTATGATTTATGCCAAAAAAGTGTCAAGTCATATAAGTGCTCGAATAAAAGGCATATTACTGATGCTGCCAATGACAAATTTAAACTGTGGAAATTAATAAATGATCTGATCATAATTAATGGTTGCAACGAATTAATTTAAGAGCAATAAATGAAAAGGATTCTGAAGGTTTCGCTTAAGACATCTTTCTTATATCTATTTGCGATGAGCATCAGTTAAAGAATGCTTGATTCTTAATTTATCAACCTGACTGTATTTCTGTTTCTTTAGCAAATTCTATTTCCATTATCACGATTTACTTGATACACTTGAGCTTCCTTTATGCTTTTATTCGCATTAAATATTAGATAGCAATTATAATTATTAAAATTTTAGAAGATAAATGAATTACTCATTAAAAAATGAGATAATATAATTTCAAGATCAGGTGATTGATTTCTTATCGATTGATCCAAAAAAAAAGAGAGTAAAAAATTTGCAAAATAATGGAGCATGTGAATGAAATTATCAGAAAGGAAAATGAACAAAATGGCCGAAGTCATTAATAATTCTCACCTCCTCTAGATATTTCCATAAAGTCTTGATTTTAAAAAGTCATTCTAAAGGAATCTTAATCTTTTCGAGAAAAAAACTTTGAAACAAAATGAATAAAAGTTAAGTTAAAAAAAGGAAGAGGTGATTAATTGTTCATTATTTTTTAATTTCTGATATGCGATCAATTATCAGAAAATTAATTTATATTTCAACAATCAAATTATTCTATCATGATTAAAAAAACGTTGTAAAAAAGCGTTTAATTACTTGCCGAACTGAAATTAAAATGGACAAATGCAGATCAAATGATTCAAGTATAGTCATAAAAAATATAACATTAAAATCGAAGCAATTATTTTAGGTCTTTAAAAACTGTAAATTCGATCTTATTTAGCATCAAAATACTTACTTTTTTTCAAATAGATTTTCCATTAGTTTAACTTTTTTAACTTCGATGAAATTTAATGTTTAAAAAAATGCGCGAAAAAGAAAACAAATAATACTTAAAGGGTACTCTGAAAGTTGACAAGATTATTGCTAAAAATGAAGATTGACAAAAACTCGAAAACTGAAAGCTATTGACTGGAATTTCATGGCAAATCTTTTACAGTAGTGTTCATTCTTAATTTTTTGGCAAAAAATTGGTCTGTTAGAGTACATTTATTTATTGCTATTACTACTATATAAATTAACAACTAATATTGACAACGAAAATTTTATGAAAACTTTTAAGGCAAATTTGAAATAGCACTTACTTATGCGAGCATTAATATTATTATTTTATGATGGATTTTAAAGTTCGCCTTTGCTGTTTTCAGTATTTATAAGTTTTTATGCATGATTTTGCATTCTTTTTCTTTTCTTTTCTAAATCATATTTAATTCATAATGCATTGTGTTTTCTACAATAAAAGCTTTAACTGCGAAAAAATTGCTGAAAATTGAACATCGCATGATAATTGATATCCATCGTACAAATGACAATTTAACGATATTGCTTCTAAAAATGCTTCACTTCATGTCAACAACTGAATTTTGTTGGTCTTTGTAACAAGCATAAATATATTTTACTTTAGCTTGAAGAAGAAAGCAAAAGTTTAATATTTTAAGCATTACTGATTTCAGTTCAATTTCTAAAAACTTCTAAAGTATTAAGTTTTTACTTTTTATTCTAAGATTATTACATTTGAATTGTGGTCGAAGTTTTATACTTTTTATAAAGTTGAATGATGAAAATTTTTGATATGCGCAAGAAATTTAAAAAGGTTATATAAATCTGAGAGAAGCAAAAAATTTTCAACTTGCTTCTTATTCATAAACTTTAATAGAGGAAATAACTGGAATTAAACATCACTTGTATATAATTTGCAAATATTAAAAAGTGATGTTATGTCAAATAATTATAACTGTTATTATCTTTTTTTGCTTTTTGAGATATGGGAGAAAAAATTTTAATTTTGATTAGTTTCTGTATATAAATTCACTAATTTTTCAATTAACTAATTGGTTTTATTTACGCTTACTGTCATTTCTAGTTAAACTAGAAAGCTTATTAGTTATAATTTTAAAAAATATCTATACTTGTTTGTCATCTAGATATTAACACGTGTCATTACGCTACTAATGATATTTAAAATATTTGTTGTGGTTTTTAACTTTAGCATTTTTTCGAAAAATGCTGCTTTAAAAATTTGGCTACAGCAGTAGATATAAATAATGCAAATAACAAAAATAAGGGATTGATTAAACACCTTTAAATCTGAAGTTTTGCCAAATAATTTATTCTTGCGTAAATCCTTCATAAAATAATAATTAACTAAAAAATATTTGGAGTCTTTGCATGAATAAATGAAATGTTGAAGCAAACAACAACAAATCTGCTTTCTTAATTTAAACTTTTTTCGGTAAAAATTTGCGAATTTTTCATGTTAGACAAAAATGTTAATAGAGAGAACAAAGTGGGATATCACTGAAATATATAAAAATTAAAAATAAATAAATGAGATTAAATATACAATAAAAGGACAAAATAAAAGTATGTAAAGCAAATTTTAAAAATAATATAAGCAATGAAAAACTTCATAACGTGCAGAAAAAAGTGGATGAGATTTAATAAACAAATACATATATATTCTATATGTTCTTTTTTTTCGCTTGCAAGCATAATTGCCTACTAACTCGACTCGAACTGATCAACGAGCTTATCACTTAAAAAATTACTGAAAAAATAATTCTTTTTTTAATGTCAAGTGAGTCTTTTGCAAAATTTTTAAAAGATTTGATTTTTT